TAGTCATTTCCTTGTGATTATGCAAATATGTCATTATAACAGATCCAAATGGCTATGTTTACGCTCCCCACTGACACGTCTACGTGCCCTGAGTAACATTCATATGATTAAGACATCAAGCCAACCATCATTACCGTTTTAGTATAAGTTATGAAATAATCAAAAGAAATTAATAAATATACTAAAAATTGGACATTGCTACCAAAATGGATAGGTAACACAACTAAATTATATACAAGCGGTTTAGAACAAAAATAAAGATAATTTGTTACAGTGTCCATCAAATTCCTTCGGGCTTAAATGGTCACCATTTACCTAGTATAGATAGTTAAGTAGTAGTCTGCACATTAGAGCATTGATTGTGAGCGAATGTATTTTACCGTTACCATATGGATATGCAAATATGTGTAACAGTGATTACGGGAATAAAAATTGGTCAATCATATTCGTTTTATTCCGAACGGACGTTAAAATTTTAGTAGTACAGTCAGGTCTCCCTAAATGCATAGTCTATGAAAAACTTCTCTAAATGCATGGTCTTGTTTGATAATTTTTATCTCCCTAAATGCAATACCTCCCTAAATGCAAGAATTTTTGATTTTTTCATGCATTTAGGGAGGTCTGATTGTATATATTAACAATTAGCAAATGTAAACTAATGTAACTTTTTGATGGTGATACTGGGAAGACTTAAAGTTATATGTAAGCGCTACAAATATGTATGTATTGGGGTTTTTTTTTATCCAGCTGTGAAGCATTGGATCAACATGGCGCATATAAGTAAAGATCCAGATTCGTGTTAAAGATCGTCAACCAATCAGAGTAATTTAAAGTGACACGCCAAAAATTTTAGTATATAGTATAGATATAGAAATTGTGGAGTAATTGTAGAGGAAGACAAATTTTATTATCAATTATTAATATTAACTATATATCTAAATTTTGACAAGCAACTCTTTATATAGAATTTCTGCTAACACTAAATAAAAGAGTTATACATAAATTAAGCAATAAATTTTAATAACAATTGTAAGCATAGTAAAAAATAAATTACAGTATATATATCTAAATCATTACACAAAATGTAATAATTGTACGATTACGGTCAAAGCTCGATACGTATGCGTAGCGAGGTCAACATTCGGATAGATTAGCGGCGCAACCAAAATTCAGCTGATCAGCCCGAATTATGGGTCGGATTTCATCGGATTTAGGCCGGCATTAAATAACAACCGAATTACAGCAAAATTATCATCTGGACCGCTTTACTTAGTGTATGAGCTATGGTTTCAATGGAAAAATTTTGAAGGATCTTTGGCATACTTAATCCACTCCGGCACATTCGGAGAGTTGCTATTAACAAGAGTTTGTGGTGTATACGTTACTTTATTCAAATCTGCAACAACGCTAAACACGTTTACGTTATTTTGACCCTGATCGTAAAAGTCGACGACAACAAAGTTTGGGATTTTTCCATTAAAAACACTAGTACAGTTTTGAACATGCTTAGCAAGATTTTCACTATTAGTTGACGCGGCATTTTGAGGTTTGGGAGTTTCGACCATACGATCGAATAAGATAAATTTAGTATAGAGGAAATGATTCACCAAATACATTTGTTGAGGTTGGTCTTTTGGTCGGTCAACGGTACATTGCCATGCATTAGGATCAGTGTTTTCAAATGGTGTTTCAAATACGTAAGAATATTCGGGTATTAACCTATAGCAATATATAAGTTAGCAAGAAATAAATATAATCAAATCATTATACAGTATAAAATATATTCGTACCATGGGACGGTATTAATATTAGCATTACTGTCAATAAAGTTAATAAGCCGTTTTCCAGATTGAATAATAGTAGACAAAGTAGGCCATTGTTCACCAACAGGTTGTGTGAAGCAGTACTGAGTCAGATTCGCTTTATCATACTCATCTTTGTATTTAAGTGGATCTATCTTATCATAATTTTCCCAAAAGATTGTAATTATTTCATACGGATTATCTTGTAAAAAACTTGTAAAGATTTTTAAAGTATTTGCAGCAGTTCCTGCATCCAATAGTCTACAGTCCGTATGACAAAGTTCAATATCAGATCCTTTCGTAGAGTTGTGTCCATCAAGAAGGAAAACTCTAATACCATCCTTTAACTGTGTTGGAATGTCATAGTTTTGATTTGCCGCAGGATTAACACC